ACGATAAGTATTCGAAGGGTGCTAAACACATGGAATTGAAATATTTTGCTGTTAAAGAAGAAGTTCAGAAACGAAGAGTGTCAATCGAACACATTAGCACCAATTTTATGGTTGCGGATTCGTTAACTAAAGGGTTGCCACCAAAGACATTTAGTGAATATATCGAAAGAATGGGCATTATTGAAAACCATCATTGACATTATGTTAAAGTTTTATGCTATTTATGTACTTGACACTCCGATATCACTTATGTATTGTTTCCGATACACTTATGCATCATGTTTCCTTATGTTGGTATATACATGAATGAATTATGTGAATGTTAACAGGATTTGTTTCTGAAAAGAAACATTATTGCTGGACCATTATGTTATCTCTCATTATTGATAATGTTAAGTATAGGACTGATACTGTGATACGTGGAAGGGACTGTGTCGAACTAATGACATACAACCGCCATGATCCTTATAAGTTCTTACTTAATAATGATTTATGATTTGGCCAATTTGAGAAAGGATTTAGCTTATATTTTGCGCATTATGTTTTATTGTTAAACCTTAAAGTTAACAATATCACATGGGCCAAGTGGGAGAATGTTGGATTTTATTATGGCCCATGTGCTCAATGGCCTGGCCCATACGTGGTTTAAGTTTAACAACTATTATGTGCTAAATTCCTATTTGTCAATAGAGAGGTGTATTCTAATTATTGTACATCATGATGGATGGTGTGACTATAAAAGACCCAATTAAAAACTGGTCATCTCTCAACCCTAGAATAGAACGACGGTTTTTTTTTCATCATGAACGTCAGAAAGCGAAAATGGGTCAAGAAAGAGAAACTGATTTCTTCAAAGATTTTTCATCTACAATTGATTTCTTCACAATGAATCATCATGGATCAAGGTATGTTTTTCGTCTCTTATGATGTTATGAAAATCATCTTGTTCTAAGATTTTGGGAATTATGTCTTGTACAAATATTAGGGTTTGATTTGCATAGAACTGTTTGAATTTACAGGAGCGACATGGAAGATGCTGTTCAATGGGCTTGAACTTACTTTTAAAATTTTCCAACAATTTGGGAAGTAGATCTTGTATTAATACGAGGTGAAGATGCCTTTGGTGGGACTAGAAAGGGAAGTCGTTGCTGACTAATAATAAGAAGCAAGCGGCTTCGGCTTTGAGCAATTTGTCAAGGGCCAACTGATCCAGATTTTTCTTACCGGGCCTTAGAAATTTTTTTCCGAATAAGTTTTTCTCACCTCACTCAGAAAAATTTTTGGAGAGAAAAATTCCATATTTTATATTACTTGTAAGATGATAGAAATGAGGGGAAGGGACCCTAATCACAACCATAGATTTCTCTTTTATCTAACAGTGGAGGTTTCTATCTCCTTTACCAACTATCTGCATTAACTATAAGAATTCTCTGGAATAGAATACATTTTCCATACCGCCCCTACGAATATTCTAGAGTACACAAGAAATCCTAAGGAGGCTCGCTCGGTGTTTTTGGTTTATTCACAATCCTTCGTATGTGGAAAACCTATGGACCAAGACGTTCTCCCGTAATCTAACAAAGCCCTTGCCGCATCTTCGACGTGGAAGACATCGATTTGCTCTTTAAACTACTAACGAGCTACCACGGGTTCCCGACTTGCTTCACTCTTCGGTAGACCGTTTTATCGGATCAAATATTCTCGTTTTGGCGCGCAATATCGCTTCCGCATGACTCGAACCTCCATGATGAAATCAACATTATGATCATATGAGGTCATTGGCCCAAGAAGTGCCCGTTGAGACTCTCCTCGATCCAAGTCTTCTTTATCTACATGAAATGGTTTAAGCATACTTACATGGACACTGGATGTACATTTAACTTCGGTGAGAGTTCCAGCTTATATGCCACCTTTCCGACTCATTGCAATCCGCCGACAATAATTGGTGAGGCTAAGGAACAATTGTAACTGTGTTACCTTGGTTGGCGGTTCTCACTCCATGATGGGGCGAATCTTGATCAAATCCATGCACATTTGTCCACCCCCAACAATGTGACCTAGGAATGACACTTCCTGTTTTGTCGTGGTTTACCCAACAATGTGCACTTCTTGCACTTAATATATAGGTTAGTTTCTCACAAAACTTGAAAAACCTGTCTAAGATGTTCGATGTGCTCTTAAAGCGTTCGGCTATACCCTATAATATAATATAGGTAAACAACGAAAAAACAATCAAAGAATGGGTGGAGTACTTATTCATCAGTGTGCAGAATGTTGTTGGTGTATTTGTGAGGCCAAAAGGCACGACGAGAAACTCATACGAGTCATAGTGTGTCACACGTGTGGTCTTCTACTTATCCCCTCAACAATCCACATTTGATAGTATCCCAATCACAAATTCAATTTCATGAATAATCACACAGCACCAAGCCAGTCGATCGAATTGGTGATGAGTGGGATAAGATACTTGCACTTTATCTTCAGCTTTTTCAGCACCCAGTAGTCGATGCACATACGACGTGGTTTATTATGTTTGTTACATATGTACCAATTTGTGATTTTTGTTGCCCAAAATTTAATTTGAGGTAAATTTATCACATGTGTTTTAGTTTTGAGTTTTTGTTAATTAAAAAGATAATTTGGGGTGGATTTGTCATGGTGTACCAGTTTAGATTTTGTGGTATTAACCCAAAATTATATATGGTGGTTTCCGGTCTTTCGATATTAGAAAAAGTTAAAATAAGTCAATTTATATAAAATGCGAAAAATCAAATTTCACGTGATCAAGCGAAATCACACACACATCGTTCGGAATGGACTTTTTTCGTTATTTAGGGCGCAAATGAAAACATTTCTCTTCCCTAATCCTATTTCTGGCTAGAAATAGAAAAATCTATTTCTCTTTTCCGGATGAGATTCTGAGCAAAAAGTAGCGTTTGATAACGACATAAAATTTCTACTTCCGCCGGCTGGCTGGCGGCAGGCGATTGGTGAGCGATGGCGGCGGGCAGCAGCGGACCGCCGACGATGGGCGGCGGCAGTGGATGGCGGGCGGCAGATGGCAAGGGTGAACAATAAAAGAGAGTTATTATTTCTGTTTCTGGAATAGAAACAGAAAAGTAGAAAATTTTAACTTCTCATTTCTGTTCCAAATATATTTCTAGGCCAAAATTTGTCTCAAAAATAAAATAATGAAATTATTTTATCAAACCGATTTCTGTTCCAAACTTGTTTTAGAAAATAAAAATATAAAAAAATAAGGAAACATAATGATTATCATTCGCGCCCTTAATTTTCTTTTCCTTTATTGGATCTTTGATTTTGGATGTGTTTTCGTCTTTTCTCCATTCATATTCTTTTCAATTTAGAGGTGCCCTTAATTATTTTTCTTCTTCTATTTTTCCGCCCTTTTTCAGTTACAAAAATTTCAGAGAACAAATCTCGGCCCTTGATCAAAACCCGCGCCGTACGAATCCTCCAATCAAATACACCGAATCACCCCTCCCTCTCTCCCCTCCACCTCCCAAACTTGTTTTAGAAAATAAAAATATAAAAAAATAAGGAAACATAATGATTATCATTCGCGCCCTTAATTTTCTTTTCCTTTATTGGATCTTTGATTTTGGATGTGTTTTCGTCTTTTCTCCGTTCATATTCTTTTCAATTTAGAGGTGCCCTTAATTATTTTTCTTCTTCTATTTTTCCGCCCTTTTTCAGTTACAAAAATTTCAGAGAACAAATCTCGGCCCTTGATCAAAACCCGCGCCGTACGAATCCTCCAATCAAATACACCGAACCACCCCTCCCTCTCTCCCCTCCACCTCCCAAACTTGTTTTAGAAAATAAAAATATAAAAAAATAAGGAAACATAATTATTATCATTCGCGCCCTTAATTTTCTTTTCCTTTATTGGATCTTTGATTTTGGATGTGTTTTCGTCTTTTCTCCATTCATATTCTTTTCAATGTGGAGGTGCCCTTAATTATTTTTCTTCTTCTATTTTTCCGCTCTTTTTCAGTCACAAAAATTTCAGAGAACAAATCTCGGCCCTCGATCAAAACCCGCGCCGTACGAATCCTCCAATCAAATACACCGAACCACCCCTCCCTCTCTCCCCTCCACCTCCCACACCCCGACTGGGGGACGAGTGTACCGTACAGTCGTACGATACGCGCGTTTCGCTCTCCTCACGCGATAGGACCGTGCTTCCTGTCACGCTGTCACCGGCGCACGGTAGCAAATCGCCCCCCCCTCCCTTCCTCCTCCGGAACAGCGACACATGCCAAAGGCGTGTGCTCGTTTCAATTGCACGGTCTTTTGCGGAAAAAAATAAAAATTATTGTCTAATTTCCAGAACATTAAGAGCGGTTTAAAGGGATTCTACATGTTTCGCTCCGGCTAAAAAGATCAAGTGCACAGTGCATGACAAAATTCGCAAAAACGATGAACAAAGAAAAAGTTGACGCTCAGCATTTATTTGACTCCGATGAAATTACGTAATATTTCTTTTTCCTATCATTAAAGCATCTGATTATTCATATTTGGAGTTGTGATTACATTCCTCTTTTTCAATTTATTACGATTTCAAATATAATCCAAATTAATTTGACTTTCCTTTTTTTTGGGGCTTTCGAATTGACCCGCCTCATCTGTCCTCTTTCACATGCAACCCTTTTTAGGATTAATCCATCTAGTTTTATTTTTTTGTAATTAGAAAGATAATTTAAAATAATTTATCATAAATATATCGATTTTGAATTTTTTACGATGCTAACCCTTTATTTTTTTGGGTTCGTCGAAATCAATCCGATCTAGTCGGTTGAGACTGAGGTCTAAGATAAGAGGTATCCCTTTTGCATGATCTGCTGTCACGTAACTCTAGCGAGTCCCCACGTGGCACGGCGACGGTAATTTCTCGCCATGTTACGGCCCCCCCCCCCCCGCCCCCCTACCCCTACAACCGCAAGGTCGAATCCCGTCCGTTTTGCTTCCACACCAAGAAACTCGCTCGCGCCCTCTCTCTCTCTCTCTCTCTCTCTCTCTCCAAATCGTGCTCCTCCTATTCACCTGCGAAAAAGAGGAAATCGGAGCCTGCTCGTCAACTTTCTCTCTCTAGGGTTTCGTCTTCCTCCTCCTCCAGCACCAGCGCCAGGTTCGTCTTCGTTGCAGGACCTCGCGTTGCTTCTTCGCGCTTGGTTTTTGGTTTCCTGTTTGGATTCTGGAGGGAGAGGAGTGTGCTTTTTTTTTTTTTTTTTTGTTCTTTGGTTTTTCCGCCATTGCCGGTGCTTCGATGGAGGACGTGTCCGACATGCTGAAGCAAGCGGAGCTGAAGAAGGAGAGCGTCTCCAGGGCGTACGAGCGAGCGCAAGCCCAGGCGTCGAAGGTCCTGCTGTTCACCTTCCTGTGGAAGGACTTGGAGGAGCATTTCGACTCCATCCAGAGCTCGTTGCAGTGCCGCTCCGAGCAGCTCCTCGAGGGCGAGAGGTCGCTCGAGGAGCGCGCCCGCGCGGTCGAGTCCAGGGAGGGCGAGCTGCGCGAGTTCCGGCGGAGGATCGAGGAGTGCGAGGGGGAGATCGGTAGGAAGACGAGGGAGCTGGCTTCGGTGGAGGAGCAGGTTGAGAGGTTGCGTGACGAGCGCGAGTCGGAGGAGAAGCGACTGGTTCTCACGCGCGGCGCGCTCGGTGATTGCGTTTCGTTGATCAGAGACAAGGGGGAGGAGTTGAGTTCCCTGAGGCGGTCGACCGAGGAATGCCTTGGGAATTACAGTTCGAAAAAAGAGGAGATGGAGCTGCTGCAACAGAAAGTAAGCTTGCAAGAGGAAAAAGTTGAACAGTTGCAGAAATTGCTAGAGGAGAATGCTAGGGAACTAGATTTTGAAATAGAGAAGTTGAAATTGACCAGGAGTTCTCACAAAGAATTGTCGGCAGAGGTCGATTTGAAAAGACAGGACTTGAGCATGGTACAGGATCTGATCGAGGATAGTTACAAGGAAATGGGCTCGAGAGAGAAGGAGTTGAGCATTCTGGAACACTCTATCGAAGAGCTTGATGGGGTGATTGCGCTCAAACATGGTGAATTGCAATCCCTCATAGATAAGATAAATGACTGCTGCCTTGAACTTCAAGTTAAGGAGGAGGAACTTGGTCGAGTCAAGAAATGCGTTGAAGAGTTCACTGAAGCACTCGAATCGAAAGAGAGTCTCCTTGATTCAATCAAAACATTGATCAAGGAGAACAATGAAGAGCTTGAATCGAAGGAAAAGCAATTTGATGCAATTAAAAAGTTGATCAGTGAGCGGTCGGCAATACTTGATTTGAAAGAGAGGGAGTTGGGGTTAATCGAAACAACTATTGGAAAGCTCTCGGAAGAGCTTAAATCCAAGGAAGGTCATTTGGAGGGTATCAGGAAGTGTGTAAAGCAGATTGAAGAGGAAATGAAGACAAAAATGGAAGAGCTAGCTTCAGTTAAAGGAAAAGAAAGAAAGGCTGGCAAATCTCTTCAATATCTATGCAGGGAATTAAATGCAACCAAAGAGTCCATAAAAGACCACGATCTTGAAATTGAATCCAAAAGGAAACAGCTAGAGTCCATTGAAATTCGTATTAGGAAATCTGCAGAGGGACTTCAACTGAAAGAACAAGAGTATGCTTCCGTCCAAAGCTCAATTCTTGAATGCTCATTGACCCTTAAGTCCAAAAAGGAGCAATTGGATTTGATGCAGAAGTCGATGGCAGAGTGCTCTCAACAGCTTGAATTTAGAAAAGGGCAGTTGGATCAAATTGAAGAGAGAAACAAGGAAGGCCACAGAGATCTCGAACTCAAGGAAAAGCACCTCTATGCGCTTAACTTGTTAATTGAAGAATGCTCTAAGATACTTGAAATGAAAGAGAAAGAATGTGAGGTCCTACGTAATGAACTAGAATTGAGGAGGGAACGCCTTGATTTGATTGAAAAATCACTCAAGACCCGCTCTAGGGAATTGGAGTTGAGAGAGAGTTTTAATGTACTTTCTGGGGTAACGGCTCATGCATTAGTAAATGAATCTGCTTCGGCTTCACAAGTAAATTCTCAACCCAGAATTGTTGTTGATGGAAAGAATCTGCTGATGTTCCTAGGTCAGCAATTCAAGGAGCACGACAGGGTGTGCTCTAAGGTACTGGAAATAATTCAAGCATCACCTGACGCTGCAAAATTGTTATTAGATGCCATTGAAGGATTCTATCCTCAGGACTCAAGTAATGGAGATGGATTTGATATTGGTATAATCCGAAGGATTTGTATCTTCCTCTTAGAGTCTATAATTACATTTTCAGCAGAGGCGAAGCCTCAGGTGAGGAAAGCTGCAATGAAAGTGGCTAATGAATGGAAAGCGAAGCTAAGTGTTTTGCCATCGCCGGAGAATTATTCGGAGATCTTGGGTTTTTTGCGACTTTTAGTGGCATATAAGCTGGCCTCCCCTTTCAATGCAGACGAAATTCAAAATCTTGTCAATTCTGTAACGCATTTCAGAGAGGCGGATGAATTGCGCCATCTCCAAGGTTCTTCAGATGCACAACCTGGTAAGTTTTCGCGCAGCTATCAACTTGCATTGATGGATCTGGTTGCTGGTTTCTTTATCATTTTGTGCCTGGTTTTTGCAATATTGATGTTGCTTCAGCTCTTATCTCTTTATGCTAACAAAATTTGTATACACGACAATGGCTGTGGATTTTAACTTGTGCAAGGTAAGTATTCCCATTTTTTCCAGATATGCATGGCAGATTCAGCGCTTTATAATGATTTGATCTTGCAAGAACTTGATGCTGATTTACACTTTCTTGCAGGTTCAAGTTTTCCCCATATCAATTAAAAAATCATTAACTGGATTTTTTTTTCTAACATTTAATTTGATAAATTTTAAATGTCTGATCGATAAGGTAAGTGAAAATTTCGTTCGGGCTTAACGCTAGTGCTTATGATGGACAGAAATAAAACACAAATCAGTGTATATTTAATGACCTTTTAGATAAACTGTCTCAAGTTCTTAACTCATATTTACTTCATTCTAAAATATGCCCAACCAATATATGTGGTTGATCTCAAACAACTTGCTCTTTTTAGTTTTTTATTTAAACTTGGAATTCTCTACATCGATAAGTCCATTTTGTTTGAACTATATTCCAAACTTGATCAGGTTAGGCCTTCAGAACATATCTTTCTTTATGATAAAGCAAATCCAAAAGAGAGCTTTAACCTCAAAATTTGATTGATAAATTCCACGAACACCCACATATCATACTAACTGAATAAAATAGTATACAATTAATCATGATTCCTTAGTCTTTAACACTTACTGAATTTATATGTAAATCTTTCTTATTTTTTTCGTAAGGTAAAGTCTTCTTATTTAAAAAAAATTGTGTGCTTTTCTGAATAGAACAAACCTTCACACGGTTATTCTTTTAACATATTTACTTTTCATTTTCTTTCTACATGCAAACTTTGTGCTTTTTGGCTAGTCTAGACATACCAAATTTTAGCAAATCGATTCATTAATGCTCCTAGTCAGCGATTTCTTTACCATCTTTTGGTTTGGAACGATGGCTCATCTATAGAGAGTTTAATGGAGTGCTTAGGTTCATGTTGATACGGCACCAAATATAGATATTGCTCTTTTAAGGTTCCATCCAATAGTTGGAGATCTATGTTTGGAGCTCAAAAATATTTCTCTAAAGATATCTAATTAGCAGTTGCAACCTTCAACCTTTCTTTTTATATTGGCTTTTGCTTGATCTTTAGATTTTCGTCTTGCTGTCTTTCCTACTCCTTGTAGCTAGTTAGTAATTAGTATAAACTCTTGTTTGATTTTGATTTCACGGGAAGCCACATTGGCTACAAGCATCTTGATTAAGGTGGTTTGGATTCCTATCAACTGCTTTGTATATGACAGGCTCCTTGAGATCCATTCAACAGTGGCAAATAAAGACCGAGTCAGAGCTTTGTATTGTGCACAATGCAGATGATTCTTTGGTTACGATTCCTCCACCACCAACTGGCTCTGTTGGAGGAACTTTGCAGTTTCTCAAAACTGAGCTTTTGACTGAAGATCGTGCAATCCTCAAAGAAATCTCGGATGAGCTGCGAAGCTCCTCTGACCCTGCAAAACTTGTTCTGGGTGTAATTGAGGGGTCTCATAGGCAACTCTCAAATAGTATGGATATGAATTTGCATACTGATGTTCTCAGGAGTCAAATTTTTCTGTTAGAGCAGCTGATAAAAGTTTCACCTTCACCAACGAATGAAGTTAAAGAAGGAGCAATGAAGCTGGCAACAGAATGGAAAGTGAAACTGACAGAAAAAGCCGAGAGTTTGTTAGAGGTTTTCAGTTTTCTGCATTTCTTGGCTGCATTTAAGTTGGTTTCTTGCTTCAATGAAAATGAGATTCTGAATCTAGCGGATCATGTTTCGCTGAATGACAATGCTCCTCTGTTATGCCAGACCCTTGGTCTTGCCAACAGGATGACGGGTAAATTTTCTATGACTCTTAATATTCTTCTCCTTTCTCCCCTCTTTTGGCTTTTCGAAAGAAATATTTTTGGCACATGCTTTCTTATAGAATGACGGCAGCCCCAAAAACTTTGCAGATCTTTATTTTTTCACTGAGTTCCCATTGTGTTTCACTTTGATGCCAGGTTTTGATAACCCATCTATTTCTTTGTTATGTACAATATTCTTGTCTTGCGTATACACGTGTGGAGCAGACTAAACAGAGGATTGGTCAAAAAGGGTCAACTTGGTTGGTTTGGAGTTGGCTAGATAATAAGCATGTTTCTACCCATTCAAAATGACTCGGTTTATGACTTGGTTTGGTATGACCAGAAGCCAAAGCCAACACTACATGCTTGACAGCCAGGTTCATCACGAAGTTTACAATCTATAAGATGTTGGAGTTTAATTTGCTGCACGAATCTTTGGAGTACTCGTTTAGCGAGAAAAGTTTTAAAGTTGCAACTGCAAGACTCTTGCTGAGTTGCTGCATAAAAAGTATACAATATCTAGCTGTCTGCATTTTCCTTCTATCCTGCTGCTCTCTTTTATTATTTAAGACAGCGAATAACCATGGCACTTTTTTCATTGGGTCATTGAGAGTATTAATTGTGCATGGTACCATAACATATACTTCAACTCATTCGGGGCACGTATGCTTCCTAATTGCCCAAAGCTGTATGGTTTTGCTCTTTTATGTTCTGGTGAAACTATTACATTGAATGAGGGCATGAAAAATTTCGAATGCCGTAGGTGGGATCCCAAGCTTCACTTTAATGTCCATCTGATTGCTACTATTCTGATCTTTTTTACATTTTAATGTACTATTTTTCTTGTTAACACTGCTTTATAAAGTTCTGTTCACTTTTAAGTCATTGAGCTAATGAAAATTGGTCTTGAAGTTATGGAGAGTGCTCTTTTGTTAGTTGTTTCTTTACTTTAGATCATTGCACCTGAACCTTGTTTGCTTTCTTACTGATTTATCTCAGTGCCAACTAGCACACCCGCTTCTTCCTCTGGAGTCCATCTGCAGCCGCCTAGAGAGAAGAAACGTATCGCAAGTGGCCCTGCAATTGATCAGCAATCCCAACAGCACGCGCATAAGTGCAGATACATGATGAAAAATCCAGTACACCCCGTGTAATATCCGACATGACTCCTATCCTTTGTGAGTCATGAATCAATCACCCTTGAGCACTATGGTATTCTCTGCTAACATTAGGCCCGAGCATTGTCTACCGTTGCCAATTGCCTCTGACATCAGCAATTCAGCAATGGCAGTGCCGATGAAGTACAGAATGTATAGGTAGATAGGTTGCTAACATGTGCATTGTCTCGCTCTTGGAAAGTAAGTTAATGCTTTGTATATAGGAACTTATCCTAGGAAGCTCTCCACAAGGTTGATGTTATTGTGCAGGATGATCGGAACATACAAGTAGCAGATTATGTATTTATGACCTACGTAGCTATTTTACTTGTGTTTTTAGCTTGAATTCGTGGATCTGTTTCACACGCTGTATCTAAGCATGGTATGATTCACGTAATACTTTCTTATATGCTTGGATGCTTTCGAGTGGCGCTTCTAGTCATTTTTATACCTTCTTACCTTAAATCATTTCACGGTAGCAATTATGTAGATCTATATCTACGTCTCAAACAAATTCTCTCTACGGCTGCTTTTTTGTTCCTTTATTCTGTTTCAGACTAGTAGACTATCTCGTATGACGCGAGGACGTCCGAATTGTTCACCTTCAAGTGGCAATTTGTTAGAAGAATTCAAGTTCCAGTGAGCTACGCAGTGAGCTAAAGAGTAGCGCCGCATTTCCACTCTCCTCCCTAGATTTTCTCCTCTCCCTTTAATCTTCACACAACTTTCTTCTTCGATCTCTAGGGTGGAGAGGGTTTGAGCTAGATCTGTTGCTCCTCTCCCCTCCCTTTTTCTTTTTTCTTTGACTCATTTGGTTCTTAGTTCTCTTTTCTTGCTTCTATCGTTTTGCAGAGCTTTTCTCTTCTGATCTAATCTAGATTTGGAAGTTTTTCCTTTCCATTTCAGGGAGATTTTTTATCCTAATTTAGTCTAAATTTTGAGATTTCTGCTTGTATGATCTTGGGTTTCTCTTCGCTCGAGTTTCGTTGCTATACAAATCCAATTTCAAAGAAATTGGAGGAGCTTTGTGAAAGTTTAACTTTTGTAGGTGTCAATCTATGCTTGTTTAGCTTTGTTATTCTAAACAATGATGATGTTGGGAACACCAAACTTAGGTGCACACTGTCGAAAGGTAAAGCCGTAGCAACATATGTTTGTTATGGAAAACAGATTCAGTAATCAGTCGTCAATTTTGATTTGAAGAAGTCACAGATTTGCTTTTTAGCGGATGATCCCTAATCTTATTTTGATGATTTATTTTATTATTTGGAGCTTGCTTTGTTTTGAAGTTGTATGAGATTTATCTCAATTTGTAGTTGGACTGCTTTGTTTTTTTCTTGTATTTCCGTGAAAATAAATGAAATGTTATCTTGACAAAAAAAAAAAAACCGGCAATTTGTTACTTTTAGTATTCATGCTCGTGCCCGACTCATGCGTACCAACATCAAGTCATTGAAAATTATTCCTAAAGGAATTCGTTTTCCCATATACTACAAAAGGTTAAACGGAGGAAACTCCTGCAATCTTTTGTAATCAAGAGCAATTGTCAGGCCTTAGTTCTTGCGTTGTTCGCCCTTTTTCGCGATTGGTTGACCGGTCTAGGGTTGAATGGAAAATAAATTTGCTACAAATAAAAAAAAATTAGTTGCGTTGGAGGTCGTAACATATCATCATTCGTTGCAATTTTGTATTATCAACAGCAATTCCTCGTATCTTGTTCTCCCACTAATGGACCGATCTAGCGATGATTTTTGGTTCAAACAGAAAAAAACCATCGAATTCGCCAATGAGTGCGTAGTGCAAGGACCGATGATGCTCCTTTGGTTATGGAATAATCGAGTAGAATCATTTGATTTTATGAAGATACAGTTGGAGATGGATCAACGTTTCGTCTTGCCGACAAAACCAAATGATATGTGGTTACGACCGAGTGAACTCTGCTATTTGGGCATGGGCATCGCTGTGCACAACATTTTCCAACAACTCGTGACACATGATGTTTGCACAACAGCTTAAATTGCACAGATCATGAGATGATAAGCAAACTCTCATCCCAAGAGAACATATCTCTATCGGCATCAAAACAAAATAAACGACGTCTTTCTAAGCAAGCCGTGGCTATTGGAAAAGGAGATTGCGCTGTCACTAATGACGATTCGTGAAAAACGACGGTCGTATCACCCTGCCAATGAGTACACGCATGGTTAGTCAAGTCAAATATGTCAATCCGCTTGTAGGGAAGGAGGATTCGACAGCGGGTAGTTTTATTCTTCGAGTGAAAGTTGGTGCATGTTATGAATTCTTTGGAAAATGATGATATTTATAACTTGAATCGTATAAATTCAAGCATTTCATTTTTTTTTTAAGAATTGGGCCCTTAATTGAGCCCACCATCCTCCCTCCCTCTCTCTCATGCAATGCCACGTGTCACCGTCCAAATTCCTCCAAACCCATTGGAGCTGAGAAGCGAAGCTTCGTGACCGGTGACGCATGAAAGCTACGGGAGGATCGATGTTAACTCGTCGTGAATGTCACGTGAAAGTGTTTGTGTTTGAAATTCGAAAATGTGATGATAATTTTTTGGATTAATATTATAAAAAATCTCAAATTTATATTTCCATGATAAATTTATTATAAATTAATTTTTGGACAACCAAAAAACGAAAGAACGGTTTTATAATGACCCAAGATTCTTCTGATTAAGAGTTAATTGATATAATCATGAAATAAAATGAATAAATGTTGGACATATTTAAATTTTTTGCATGCTATTCCTTCTAATGCAGAGATTACGAGAATATATATATGTGTGTGTGTGTATGGTTGTAGCTAGTTAGGATTTGAATTAGTAAAAAAAAAAGCGCATGAAAGCACATATTGAATTCAAATTTATCTTTTGCTTTTTACTTTTTTTTTTTGCTTGTTCAGCACATAATAATTTCTTTTAAACTTGAAACTTCGGAGATTTTTATTATATATCAATATTAATATGTAAATTCACGCCAAAAAATATTTGACTTAAATTATACAGGCAAAATTGAAAATAAAAAAGAAATTCTAAATTTCGACGCAGACATCTTGATAAAAAAAAGAAAGGATAACGGCACAAACGATTCCTAAAATTTAACGCAACGTGCAACGTGATCCATGAATTATATAGTCCATAAACTTTAATCTAATGTTGAACTTCGGAAACGATATTGAACAAATTAAAGGTTCAGTAACTACATTGTATATTGGGTCAAAATTGAGAGGCCGTTTGTTTACGCCGTTTGTTTATCCCATTTTCTCAACAACAAAAAAGGAAAAAAAAAATTTCTAACAGGAGCACAATTGACGCTCGCGGACATGTCACCGTCGCATCAGGGCCACTGTCGAGTGAATGAGGAGGGCGGCCTTTTTGCGTCGGCGAGCGTTTCTGGTCTCTCGCTCGACCACCACCACCGCCATGGCGCTCTCCTCCTCCGCCTTCCATGCCTTGTTCAAGTCCTCCTCTCGCATCTCCTGGAAATCCGTACTCTCTCTCTCTCTCTCGCTGTTGTTTTTCTCCAAGACTTCGGTCGCGATTCAACCGTTTGACCGACCAGTCGGACGCCGATCGAGTTTCCCCGGCCGAACGATATGCATTGACCCCTGCTTCTCTCTCTCGCTCTCTAGCAGACCGGGAAGCTGCAGCAGACCCTCGCCGGAAGCTTGGAGAAGGCGGGCGTGGGCCTGCACTCCGGCGAGGTCGCGACGGTGAAGATACGGCCGCACCTCGCCGGCGGCGGCAGGTGCTTCGACCTCCGGTCCCGCCTCGTGCCGGCGTCGATCGATCACGTGGAGGAATCGCCCCTCTGCACCACCCTCTCCAAGGACGGGTGCAGGGTCCGCACCGTGGAGCACTTGCTGTCCGCTCTGGAGGCCACTGGCGTCGACAATTGCCGGATCGAGGTTGTCGGCCTCGACGCCGGAGATTGCGATGTGGAGGTTCGTGCTGTATGTTTGAAGTTGTTTTGGTAGATGAGGTTTTCTTTTTTCGCTATCAAGATTGCATTTTGTGGTGCGTCTGACAAGCGAAGTCTGAAGAAGCGTGAGATTATACTTACGGTTGTTCTTTCCGTTGAATTTTTCTGCTTGGTATTACTTGGTGTTGGTATACTCTCAACGAGTAAGGTTAGGAATGTGAAGATTGATTGCAAAGTCGATCTTTCAAGCAACGTGACAGAACTTTGCGACGACCTAAACAAGTGTGTTGTCTTCAAGCATCCGACAAGAATTTCTCCCGTAATCTCTTAAGATACTTTCATATGGCAGTCTTTGTAGCTTGCATATCTGCATTATTCACACAGAATATATGGTCATTTAACTTCCGTGACTTTTGAGCTAGGTTTTGCTGATGCTTCGCGGATGCTCCATATTGCCCCCTTCTCTTGTCAGTTAATTGTAACAAAAATACAGCCAGGGCTTTGATCTGACCAATTCTTCTTTCGGAAAGTAAGTTTTTCCCCCCGATAAACTACAACAGCAAAGGCCTTGAGCATGACAACATAAACTCCATTGAGGTAGTACATATGCTGCTTGGTTTCCTTGTCGCTTAGTCTAGGATCCCTCCCATCAAGGGTTTAAAGTAATCTCAGTCCAGAAAGTATCTGTTATTTGTCACAATGTAGTTTTAGTACAAAGTTTCACCTCATTGGCGGATTGCTCTGTTAAATGCATCGTGGCAATTAACAGACATATATCTATGTTTGATCCTATAGTTTCAGTGCATTGCAAAAAAGGTTCAGTGCCTGTTCCAAGGTCAATAGCCGGGGTGCAAATGGTATAGAATCAGATGAGAACACAGATATGATTTGTGATATTTGTTTTGCAGGTTCCTATTTTAGATGGGTCAGCAGGTGAATGGGTGGAGGCAATAGAAGGGGTTGGTTTAGAGGTGGCGAAAGATGCTTGTGGCAACAGTCTTGAGAAAATGGCGCCATATTTGGATGAACCAGTGCATGTCCGGAGGAATGATTCTTTTGTAGTTGCATTCCCCTCATCACAGGTCCACATCAGTTGTGGGATCAACTTTCCACATGTACGTATCTTCTTTTATACAAGAGGCTGAGGCTTTGCCTATTGGAAGGCACAGAAGTTATCCCCTCTTCTTTAATAATTGCTAATCTTGCTTAAAAAGAGAGTCATTGGTAGGTTGTTTGACTACTTACTTATTCTTATTCTTCCAGTGGTTTACCTGATTTTGTTCAAATGGCAAATGCCATGATAATTTCTTAAAGCCTTTCTTAACTATTTCCTTTTTCGAATGAAGATTTTGTTAGCTATGGAATTACTCAAGTTCTTTTACTTCTTTCAACAAGTTCAAGGAGATATCAATCTGTTACAGGAGGGGAGGGGCTACGTACATTCACAATCATGAATTGGGGAAGCATGGGCCTTCAAATAACCTGGATATTGGGAAAGTTGTTAGATGACACTTTTTCCTTATTTGAATTATAATTGCCCAAAAACCTTCCATATTCATCATGGGACAAGATGATTTTAGTAATAGTAGTATATCAGTGTAGGGTCCATTTGGGGCTGGTTTTTTCCAACCGAGATATAAGCCTTAGTTTGAGAACAAAATATGAGCACCTTCAAGGGATTCCGTGTCTGAGCATCTGAACCAGAGATTTATGATAGGCCAGCTAATTAAGGATCACGAGCTATGAATGGTTAATGTTGTGATCTCTACATTGCCATCTTCCTCACCATGGTGATATCATAAGATTCTTATGTTGATTAGCAATTCTTTATCTAAATTTCTCTATGACAGGTTTCCATTACATGGAGATGAAAACTCCAGAATTATGGGTTTACTCATTCGATCTAGGACATTGTAACTTCCATCATGGCTCTCCACTCATATCAATTCTCTTCTTGCTGTTGCTCTGTGCACCACTTTCCGTTTTTATAGATCAGGAGAAGTTATATCTCCGTCCCTGATTTCAGATTGAGGTTGGCAAATGTATTTTGTGCATGGATGCACTTCTACATGTGTATACGTACTGTCTATAACACTTATCTGAAATTGTCTGGGTCACTAGCTTGATTAATCTGACTAAAATCTTTTTCAGATATATTTTGAAGTTTCAAAGTGGCCGTTGAATAGATCTGGTTTTGTTGGACCTTTCAAACTCTCATCATGTTGTTATTCAAAGTAGTGTTTCTCAGGCCCCAGATTCTTTGCTTGAGTGATGCTTTTTAGCACCACTATACTACCACCTTATTTGTAGTCATTGGAAGCTAAATCTGTGATCTCTGCTCATTCTAGTTACATGTGCATCTATATGGCTAAACTGTAAATGTAAGGTTGAGCTAAGCAATCAGATGAAGAAGTGCATTAGTGGGGTCATCAGATGCAATACAGTGTTTGAGTCATTAACTGAGAGCTCTAATTTCCATTATTATGCTGGTGATGCAGGTCCCATCTATTGGCTGCCAGTGGTTCTCCTCTTCTATTGAATACGACTCCTTTTATAAAAGGGAAATTGCTCCTTCACGAACCTTTTGCATTTACGAGGAGGTCAGTTGTTTTGTCACCATGGCACTTGCCACTCATCACAATCCATATCTTACTCTCCTATGCATGGATCTTCCCTTCCCTCACTATAATAGAATAAGCTTATACTTTAGAGTGGCTACACGGCCACACACACTTCTTTTTCAATTACTAAACTTACCTTTCCTGATTTTAATCATGATTTTGACAACTGGAAAATTTGACTTATAAAGTCAAGGCAGTTCGTCAGTCCATGCCCATTTACACAGCTTCAGCTATCACAGCACTGATCAAGGAACTGAGGGATACTAAATCGTCTGTAGTGAGGGTCTCACTTACGCAGTAATGAATGAAAAAACAATCTTGCATCTTTTAATATCCATCAGATAAACTATTGTCATCTATTACTATTTTTCATGCCTGTAAAATACTGCTGTCTGACAAATCGTTGGATATTACCTTGGCTTGCCTTTTGTGTTCATTTTTCGTACCTTTTAACAACTAAAAAGAAAAGAATAACAGAGTAAACAAAATATAAAATTCCTCCTTGCATTTTGATATGTTTCCATCCATGTTTGTGAAATATATTTGCTTGAACTGGCAGAGTCTAGAAATTTGACGTACTGAGTATGCAAATTTCACATCTGCCTCACCCACGACCAGGATTTTTGCAGTGCTGGGTGACTATGAATACTGTTAGTAGTATGAAAATTGCTATAAGATCAGTGGTTGGGAATATTAGCTTGTTCGTTTCCAATCCACTTACGCCTTTTGTTTTGTTTGGTAAACGCACTTGTCTTATTACCTTAATTTGTGCCATCTGGACAACAGAATATCTTTTTTTTCCATGAAATTACTTGCCTGTTTCTAACTGGCCCGTATTTGCATTCGTCTTGAATGATAAGGACCTTGTTTCCAGCAGAAGATCTCCCTTAGTTTTTGCTTTTCCACCTAAAGCCAGAACTCATATTGCAATATTTTCTTAGGTAGAGAAAATGCGCAGTAGCGGATTGATAAAAGGAGGCTCACTAGAAAATGCCTTGGTTTGTAGGTGAGACCTTGAAACCTCTTTTATTCTGTTGTTTTTTTCCCCTATTGAGTTATGTGAATGGCCAAAACGAGGGTCAGCTTCTACTGGTAATTTTAGAACCTGAATTTTCAAAGAAGAAATGCTTAAGTTATGTTGGAAGACGGTGCAAGATATTATGCTGCGTAATGTCCCAAGGTTGTTTTTTAAAAATTTTGGAAGCAACAAGCCAAAGCAGGCAGCATACTTTTTTCTCTTTTGCTCCATTGATTGACATTTTGCATCCTGGTAATCATCTACAGTGCAGATAAAGGTTGGTTAAACCCGCCATTGCGTTTCGATGAGGAACCATGTCGCCATAAGGCCTTGGATCTTATTGGTGATCTTTCTCTTTTTGCACGGTGTGGTAGTCAAGGGCTTCCAGTGGGACATGTAGTTGCTTACAAGGTATTTAACCAATTTCGCTTTTAAATTTTTCATGTTTTCCATGCAACCTAAGATTGCCATATTGGAATATGTGCTTTTTTTTTACTGCCAAAGGAAAAATTACAATATGTAAACTTTCACGTGCAAATATTAAGGTGATTATGATGGTGCAAAATGATGTGTACCAATTGAGACACTTATAAGTACATTCAAATTTCCTAATAAATTAGATATTTGAATTGTACCGACCATGAAACATTATTGTTAGAATAATTAATTATTAAACCACAACTTCATCTAACAGCTTAAGCTTTTAGAATATTTGGCAGTAGTCCCACAAAATATCACATGGTATCAGAGCATGAGGTTCTGAGTGCAAATCTTTCTAGGGCAATGTCCACGCTTAGTACTAGGCAAAGATACTAGATTAAGTGTGAAAGGTAGTGTTAAAATAATTAAATATTAAAGCACGCCTTCATATAGGGAAAGTAGATATAGGGAAAGTAGATGCATTGTAAAACTTGATGCAACATAATGATATTACCTTATCATTGCTGTAAGCGAGATATTCGGATATGCTTAACCTTAGTGGGTAGCCCTGCTTGACTTAGGTTCGCATCGTATGCGAGATATTCGGATGGATGGCATTGACTTTGTCCGACTTTCTGAGTTATCTATCACTGTGTCATTGGTTACGGAGATAATCCCTGCATACTTAAGGATCCTTTTGGCTGTTTGGTTTCTTAAGAAAAATGGAAGATCATTTTCACTTGCATGGAGTGATTGATGTAGCATTTGGAGTCAATTCTGGCAGAAATTGATTGCTATTGAGCATGTTTATGCTTTCTGATGTTCCTTGTTGTCAATGCTACCTATAGCAAATAATGGTTAATGGGTTTTGCTTAAGAGTGGAAAAGTAATTCCAGATTTCCGAACTTACGCAAAGGGAAGACTCACATTGTCAAGATAATAAGGCTAACCCCTGCTGGAGTTGGCTCAAGTGGACTCCAGTTTATTCCTTTGATGGGATGCTTAATGCCTTATGCTGCGGCTTATTTGTTAGGCATACACTAACCACTGCTGCCAATGGAAACCCTTCTCTTTCTCCCACAACACAGAAAAAAAGACCACCTGTGGCCTTACCCAAAATAGCAGGGGATATAGAGAGAGGAAGCACAGAATGCTAATTTAGTAATTAGAAGAGGGAGCAGGGTGGAGGTTAAAGAAGAGTATCAAATAGTCGATCTCTAGAAATTTTCAGCGTACGCTGTCGTATCTTTGGATGCAATCTTCTCTTCTTGGCACCTCTGTAGCAACGACGCATTGTTTGGCAATTTGACTGGGGAAAATTGTCCTCCTGTGGCTTTACCCAAAAGAGCAGAGGATGAGAGAGCTCAGAACACAAATTTAGAAATTGTAAAGGAGGGAAGGGGAGGGGGGGTTGAAGGAGAGTATCAAATAGTCAATCTCTATAAATTTTCAGTTTACGTTTGGATTTAATCTTTTCTTCGTAGTGCCCTTGTAGCAATTGGGCATTGTTTGGCAATTTTGACTGGGGATAATTGTCCTTATAGAGTCCCTTTATTGTGGGTGTTTTAGTTAGAGACCCCTTGGATTCAAAATTGGCAATATCAGTCCCTGCAATTTTGACAAGTTGTTGATGCCCTCTCTGACAAACTTCCAATGGGATTCCCCCCTGCCAATGTCCGACGTGGAAATGTTGTGGGCATCGTTGGTGCATTGACATTTAATGGAATATACCGGATAATCAAATATATGTAGGGACTAACATCATCAAATATAAAGTACACTGGCTCACTTAAGCTAGCACCCAAAGCAAGGGGTGTGTACATGCAGTTTTCCCTTTCGATCCCCATTTAATTGCTCTGTATTTCGACTAGCACACTCACGTTCAGAACCTTTTATGCTATTATTTCGTCTTGTATTCAGTACTTCCCTTTGATCCAAAAGTAGAGAAAGTTGAACATGGAAACATTCCTTTTGGCTGCATTTCTTCTGTTCTAGGTAACACGGGTAATTATATTTTCGACATGGAGTATGCTTTTACTGGCTTCATAGTTCTGTACTTATGTATAGTTGTGATAAGTGTGAACTGTGATATGCAATCTCAAGAATGTTAAATGCTAACTTTTGGATATAATCACAGAGTGGCCATGCGCTGCATGCTGGGTTTTTACGCTGCTTGTTATAGTTCGTGAGCAAGATTGGCTAACTGTGCTCAAGATGTCCCAGATTAAAGTAGTCACAATGCAAGGAACTAGACGATAGAATATGTTCTTACTCTCCTAGATGAAAATACTATAAGAGCTGCAGTTTGAATGCTCTAGGGATCATCTCAACATCATCCTAAGATTATTCTGCTCAAAGCCAAGAAAGAACCTTCTTGGTAAGAACATCGAAGTGGTCTATCACTATAAGATGCTTGGATGCTTGCACCCAGGGGTATCCCTGCAGGTGACATTAACTATTCACAAAGTGCAAAATGTTCAGAAGCAGTTGCTGTCTGACCAGAGGATTCAGCTACGATCTGAACCATTTGTCGAATAGAGCTGCATTAATATGGATGGTTCTTACTAATTGGAGCAACAGTATCAGTCAGCCTTTTCTTGCCAGAAGTTGAAGTTAGCTCTCCGCACTAAAGCAGCTACTGCCAACTTGGGGGAAAATCTGCCAGGGAAAAGGCTTTTGGGTTACTTTTAAATTCTCGAAGATAGTGTATAAGCTCATTCCTTGTTTAAACATGCATTCTTGATTACGGTCTTTCTATCCGGATGGTTAGAAGGGAGAGATTATCTATGGTTGCTGGAGTTTAAGACAGGAACTATTGTTAGCAAGTGACAGCTATTATTTATCACTAGGTACCTCATAAAAGCATCTGTATGAACTGATATTTCTAGGCCGCTGAGATGTATCGTGAAATGGAAATTCTCGAGCATATGTTTGCCTGTGTTTTCCTTCAGTCTTTTTCCCTCTTCTTACCTGTTCTCTTCCTTTGCGACACCTCCAAACCTTTGATTTGTTACATCTTTCAAAAGTATTAAGCTGGTGTTTTGGTGCAGCACTCTTGACACCTAGCTGAACTGAATTTCATTTGGTGATTAATTGACCTATACGAGAACTTTGTCATCACTAGTATGTTCGTAGCTCCTGTTTCTTCTGTCTATGATCATCAATTTTATCTAATACTCATCTGTATTCACAAGTTCAGTTAAGTTTTAAACCTTTACTTTTCGGTTATTATCCGGAAAGATCTACATATTTCCACCTTATCTTCTAGTTCACTATCACCACTACACCTTATTGACAGGTAGATTGGATCCATAAGGATCAACTCTATGCATAAGTCTAGGCATTATGTATGATCTGGGGCTTGCATTGCACCTTACAAGCCCTGTTTCAACCCAATCACTGAACCGAGAAAGTTACATATTGTCTTATCGGATTCTCATCCACATATGTGCCGCAACTTATATAATATGCTCATGCGAAATCGGGATAGATGAGTCGAAATCTCTACCAAATGCCTCTCGAGTGACTGGCCTCACATCCTAAAGTCACCGGACCAATTTTCCCATGATCAGGTCAAAGTCGTAGCCAAGTCCATCTGCATCGCTGCCATCAATACCACATCCACCACGACGGCCGCTTTTACTGCTTCTGTTACCTTTTATCAACCGCGATGCCCATCTCATTACGCTCAGTCTTCATTGAAAACACATGCCAGCACCAAATCGCACCAGATAGAAATCCAAACTCCAAGCCGCACGAGGCTTCAAGTACATTCCACGCCGCACAACGTGGTCGCTTTCATTGAACAGACCTAACTTACCCGAGGTACATTAAAGTCATATCTCACGCGAATGACCTAGTCCTCCAAGTGGGATGGTCCAACCAGAACTAGGGTGCCTTTTCCTCATTGCGGGCAAATGGTCCTAAGTATCCTTTCCCTAAAAATCAGTTGAACATATCGAGCTTTAAGCCAATAGCCAAGGCCAAAGGACAACTGCCACACGCAAAGAACACTTTCCACTTTGTCCCGGCGACGGGCACTACAGAAAAGGAAACACAGTGGTTTTACATTAAAAGAGAGGAACGACACATGCACGCTAGGACTGCCCACGTATAGACACTAAACGTAGTCTTGGGTCCAAATCAATCGCTCTCCAATCCGATGCCATAATTCTCTACGGCACATAAAAGCCTATATTATCGGATCTGACCTCTCTCCCAAGTCACCACAACAATAGAATAATCCAAGTAAGGTGTTGCACTAACCTCTAGCGTTTTGACGTTCGCCCTTGAAGGTGTGGCGAGATTTTACTTTCCGATCCATCTTATAGCTCGTAGAAATTGGTTTGTTTTTTTTTATCTTAAACCATTTTGGTTCTAAACTGGGTTGCTGTTATTCTGCTTGAATGTAAAATGATTGGGAAATAACCAAAGGATGAGAAAAAGATACCACAAGTATTATAACTTTTACGCGGCGCTTACTTGAGGGCCATAATTGTATATCTTTTTTTTTTCACTTGAGTGTCGTAACTGCTGAAAAGCATTTACTTGAGTGTTATAACTTTCAATCGATCACTCTAATACCATAACTTTAAAAAAATATTCCTTGTAACTATCTTGCCATGTCAGATCTTTGGTGGTTGTAGTGAACGTTTTTAAAAAGTATTGGCAGTTGAGCGATCGATTAAAAGCGTACGCCATTCGTTACAAACGCCTTTTGTTTTAGCACTCAAGTAATCGATTGAAAAATTGTGGCACTCAAGTGAGGGTCGTACAAAAGTTATAACACTATAGTATCCTTTTTCCCATTTTCTCATCTTGGCAAAAAATCCTCCTAGACTGAGCATGAATTGTCTGTCTTTGAGAGTCTAAAGACTCGAAATAGGAAATTAAGTCACGCTTGATGGGATGGTTGTCCAAAAAATTATAAACCTATTGCACGACAGCCAATTCAGTCCTAAACTTTTCAATTTGACCAATTTAGTCCTAAATCTTTTGACGATTTGCCAATGTAGTCCTTCTGTCTAATTTTGGCTGGAAATCGCTAACATGGTCACCGGCCGTCCACCAGCTCTAACGTGGATAAATTTTTTAATTTTTTGAACTTTTTCTTTTTTTTTCTTTCCTATTTTTTGTTAGTCCTATTTTCCTTTGCTGGTTGTTGGGGCCTTGGCGATGACCGGCGAAGGTTATTAGCCATAGCCCACGCCAGATTAGGGCGAGCGGTGGCCGCCGACCGATAAAGGGAAATAGGAAAAAAAGAAAAAAGAGAAAAAAAAAGGAAAAAAAGAAAAAATTCAGAAAATTTTAAAAAAATATCAACTTCAATAATTTTCAGCCAAAATTGACCAAAATGACTCTATTGGCAAATTGTCAAGAGGTTAAGGACCTAATTGACTCAATTAAAAAGTTTATGATTGAATTGACCACCATAAAATAGATTTATGACTTTTTGGACAATTTTCCCCACAATTGATACAAATAAGGAAACTTAAGTACTTTTAGAATACCAAAATTCTTCTTGAAAGAATCATTTTACGGAATTCACTTGACTACCATCCTATTCATGAAGGGTGTCAAAAATTTGACTCTTATAGTTCACCAAAGTTTGCAACGCTCATACAAATTACTAGTTAATTCTACAAGTGTTACCGTTACCGTCGCCGTTGCGGCCATCACCCAGTTCAATACAAAGGCCGGTCCATAAAACACAGAGATTCAGCGAGGGTAGATTAGGCATCATATGCCTAAGCAAAGTTTAATAAAATCATCCTTGGAGAGCTTTTGTCTTAAAATTCCACCCACTATTGCAAAGTCGCGAACTTCTTCGAAACCTCAAAAAGGCTTTCATACTTACAAGCCAACCCCATGTCTCAAAACTTCCTAATCAAATCAAGATAAGCATCTTTGATGTTGCACCAACGAAATCAAACGAGACATTTCGGGACAAACAAGTGCAGAAAAAAGACAAACATGGCACGTACCAATAATATTGCCCCCGACCCTATACGAGCAATAGAACCCTAAAGGCCTAAAGAGAAGGAATCGTGCAAGTTTTCAAGTTGCTACTGCCCTAGGCCTACCCATACATGCAATCATGACATGAAGGAAGAGTTACAAGCCTATTAGATTTTCATTTTTTCCAACTTCACGATAAAAAATTAAGAACATAAATCAACGGAGACGTCTGGATCAACCCGCAAAAAGAGGAACTTGTATGACTTTTTTTTGTGAGGAATTATAGTCCCCCTTGATTTAGAAGTCAAAACAATGATGCATTATATCACCCACTTCCAGGTTTTGCTACACGAAAAAGCCTTATTGCATTGCACCTTATCGCAATTTTTTAGTACATTTTGAGCTAGGGGTGTGTAGTCGTGGATGACGAGGGAATTCAATCGGATGCTCATGTTTTCTGCTTTAGTTTCAGTAATCTATACTGCGATGTGTTCCCTACTTGTATTTCTTAAATTCCGTATGTAATAGTAGGTTCTTGAGGGCATGAAATTATAGGTTCATACATGATTTGATCGAACAACTTTTTTTTATCACGCGATAAAATGGAGAATTTCCTGGAGATAAATGAGGGTATTCAAAGGCACGCGATGGGTTATTTTATAGCAAAATTTAGCTGTCCATCAATCAAGATTATGTGAATCCAATGCAATCTTACAACGTAGCTAATTTGTGGGTCACATTAGACAATAAAATGACATAGAGAAATAAGATGCAGCAATTTTCAAAGGTCAACAATTATTGCATAATGTCAAAGCACACTCACTCCTCACTCGTAACCACAAATCCAACATAATATCACCAAAATTCATGCCATACAAGAGAAAGAGAGAGCACTTTTATGATCTCTCAAGAGATTTATGCTGACTGTTAGTCACATGCGTTTGCTCGCCATTTCTATCCAAAGCGTCATGGCATGTAGACACTTAGAAAATGGCAAAAGGACACTATAAGTGTCATAAGTTGTGTACGGAGATCACTTTGGTGCCATAACTTTTTTTCGGATCACTTTGGTGCCAACTTTTTGAAAAACGATCACTTTAGTGCTAACGCCGATGGCTACGGAAATCGACTCACTCTTTTTTTATTAATTTCCGATGCGACATGGCTCACCGGAAATCTGACGTGGCTCTTTTTTTCCGGAATTTTGGCGGGAGTCACTAAAGTGATCTCTTTTTCTCCGATTTGACCAAAGTGATCAGAAAAAAATTATGGACCAAAGTGATCTCCGTACACAACTTATGGCACTTATAGTGTCCTTTCGCCGAAAACTTAGAAAATTCCTTGATTAAACAGTTGAGATCTATTACGTATCGAGACCTATGATGTCATTACTCAACGGTTGCTAACGGCTAAGCATTGCCTGATGAATTTTTCCCCGACATGGCGTCGTTTTTACAGGAGTAGGAGCAGCACGAAAGAAAGATGAGGAGGGAACAGAAGAAAGGGAAGGGAGGGCCCGCATGAACGCTAACCAAAAGCCCCCAAGGAGGAGTAGGTGGAGTGTCCACATCCACTTGGCCGTCGATTCCCCCTGCAATTAGTGTCGATTTCTGTTCGTTTGTTTCCAAACGACAGGAGGATTGCGTTCGTGTCCCTCCTCGACCCCTCCCTAATTCAGTAACCGGTCGCTGGACACGGCGCTCTCTCTCTCTCTCTCTCTCTCTCTCATTTCCAGGTTTATTCTTGAAGTAATAGCAACGCTTTCAAAAATGCCCCAAGTACCTGCAGCTTTTTGCCCTCTTTTCCTATCCATTTCCTTTGCTGTTTCGTTTCCTCCATTGCTCCAAAAGGAGTAAGTATTCGATGAGTATGGTAAGTATATTGAATTGAATGATGTTGGTTGTTGTGACTTGTGTGAATACGCTTCGCTATTTCGTTGCGATACTTTGGATGGATATGATGAAGGGAAAGTGTCCAGGTACCCGATAAGCA